ATTGGTCGTGTGATACCGTTTCTGACGATGATAGCACAAATTTGTGTAATCGATTAATTTCTTTCCTTTTTATTATAAAATCAGCACATACGTTTTTTATATCGGAACTTTTGGTCAACTCTCTTATACCAGCTTTTTCTCCCTAGAAAAATATAGAAAGCAGTTAGTACATTTCTTCGATTAATAATAATAAATCAATTCATTTTATACCACAAGATCGATATGATTATTTTCTGAGAGTTGGTATTTATCTGAACTAAGATCAATTACACCATTGCATAATGGATCGTCTTGTGACAAATTATTAACTTTAGCTTTACAAATCTTCGTAAATATATGGTCGTGAGCTAGCGTTCCACCGTTTTTAATAGTACTTTTTAAAATAGCTATATTATTAGAAGCCGTATCCCTCCAGGTTATATATTCTTTAAATTTTCTTGTAATTCGCCTGCATCTATCAATGATATGAGCTCGTCACGAGAATAATAAATCTAAAAATAGAGGCGGGTTAATATATTCACAAATATTATTCTTGCGCAAGTAAGGAACCTCCCGCCTAATCAGTAATTGCTGGCATTTTTTTACTGTCTATAGTCAGCAATATAAGTATAATGAAAAAGAACCCTCACTAGTATATAACTGCTTAATTCGATCGCATTATACTCATTAATACAAACAGTCTATATTCATCATTTTTTAATAAATAGTAATAATAATGATAATGAACTACATTATTTACCCTGTTAATATCTTGTAATGATTGAATATGCTCCTTATGCTCAGTATTAACGATTTTATCTTCAACGCTTCTTAATATATTAATAAGACACTTGCAGTCTTCTTCTTTAGATTGAATCTTAAATAGCTTCCATTGCTGAGTGAATATTCTAGAAATAGTAATTTTTTCCAAAGAAGCAGTTTTTAAGAAGTCATATAAAGGAACAAAAATTTCAATTGATGAGGCAATTGAGCTAGATATATTAAAAAATGGGATGATCTTGTTAGTATTTTGTAATAACGCAAGAAGAAATAAAATCACTATAAAGCGAGAAAAGACTAAAATTCCATATACTGCCCTTTTAAATGACTCCATTCACATCTTCTCGTCTTGCATTCATATTTGGGAAGAGATAGGAGAAATATGCAATAGACCTTTACGCCAAAATTTTGTGTTCGAGAATAAGGGCATGTGGAATGTGCATTGAAGATCTCAACATTTAGAATGGTGTTGAGGACAATGTATATACAGACTTTTTTTCTTACCTGACCGCTCAATAGTTAATACTAAGATCTGGCAACATTATATAAATATATTCTGCTCAGAATCGGTGGTGTCAGAGAGCCTGTCCCTTCGGAGCAAATATACATATCAGTAAATGCCATGCTATTTCGCTAAATATTATTTGGCTAAATGTTGCAAGAAAATAATTCGAAATATTTTGGAGGATCGATTTATTATTTCGTCGCACAAGCATAATTTCACAGATGATTTGCGCATATCAGATATTACATATTTACATCTACTTTAACGAGGATTAAAAACGTGCTAATTTATGTTGCACACGCCAACATGCATTGTGGCTGGATAATATTATTCATTTCGCAAAAAAATAAATTGATTTATTGTATTATTATAATAATTATACATACAGTAAATATGAATATGTAACATACTATTTTAATAAATAATCTATAGTCCGGAAAATTCGTTGCACATACTTATAATTATTATTTAAATCTGAGAAATCTATAGTAGTATACTCTCCATTGATACTAATATTTCCAGTTTTATAATAGTCAATATCTAGTAAATTATATTGATAATGTTTGCCTACCAATTTACACTTATATAGTACATATTCTGAACTTCTAACAAAGTTTTCATTGCCATTGTTGCAGTATTTATCAATACGATAATATTCAGGATTTGATAGCCACTTTAACATATAAGCCCATCCTGAATATTCAACGATTCTATAGCCTTGCCGATGTAATTCTATAAAAGCAACTATATATGATACAAGACATAATCGATTACTTAGCTGTTCTCTCTTTTTTTCTATCCAACTTTGTAGAGTATAATGATAATATAATATAGGATGATTCTGATAATGTGCAGGCATATCTTTAGCTTGAATTCTATCTCCATAATTAATTCCCGCCAGAAGATAACTGGGATCCCATATATAGTCTATATATCGATCATCAGGAACTCTTATTTTTCAAGGAGTTATACTTAAAAACTTCTTCTCGTCAGGAGTACCATCATTTCTCACCATATTCCAAACTCGTTTTGCCTAAGTTTCAGGTCTCAACTTGAAAGCTCTCCAAGCCCGTTGGATAACTTTTGCACTATCGATTAAACGATTTACAATCCTTTTCCTACCTTCATGTGAATAATCATAACTATAATGAGCCAAACCTTTACTGTACATAACCGAATATGTTAGATAAATCTCTTCAATCTCATCAGAACTGAGCGATGATATACTTCCTCCTTTTTTCGTATTCTTCTGTATAGATTTACTGCGCCTTTCGGCAATGCATTTCTTCAGGTGATCGTTTGCACATTCGATGGTATTTTCATGAATAATTACTAAGGAATCGCATACAGTGCAATAAATATGAAATGAGCGTCTCCCAGCTTTAAATTCCCCATCTTTATAATATCTTTCAATCATCTGGATAAATCCATTCTTAGAAAAGTATTTCGGATTATTTTCAAGAAGTGTCTTAAATGGATAACGAACACGGGAACACCATATTTCTGGCGTTTCACCACTATACCTATATTGCAGGTTGTTTAGCGCCTGCACTATTACAGGATTCAAACCAGAATAGTAATTAGTTTTAACCATTTTGCGAGTATAGTGAAATTATAGCTGTTTTAGTGATTATAGCAATTTCAGAGTGTTACACTGATTCTTTATCAACCTATACTAGAGAATATCATATTTCAAATTTATATGGATTTGCTGATTAAGCAGTTTTAATGATTTATAGCAGTTTTATTGATTTGTAGCCAATTTAGAGAGACTATACACTACTAAATCCAAATTCATTTTTATTCGATTGGGATTTATATAGGGTCATCTCTCGGGCTAAGCTAATTTTATATTTACATATATGAATATGCACAGCGCCTTACAAAGTGTCTTAATGGCTCGGCTAAATTGGTTTGTGATATGATGTACTGTATATCGTATTACATGAGATCTTCCTAGTTCCTAGTGAGTTCCCGGCACTTCCTCGCAACCTTCTCGCAACTCAAATCACGGGACAGATCAGCATTGCGGTGTCAATCAGATTTTGCACAGTAGCTAAGCCACCATTATTATTCGATTAATCATATATCACGAACGCTAATTCATTCCCAGCTCATTTAAATCATGACACATAAAAGCTCTCCCCCTTCTTAGTGTACCTGCTACCTCACTTCTTCTTTGCTTTTCATAAAACTTTCCATAAAACTTTTCTTAAGCGTAAAAATGTCTCTAGAGTGGGATGATGAACAAACCCGTATTCTCATCAATAAACGTAAAAATGGTAATATTGAGTACCACCGAACCCCTAAACGTAACAAGAGAATCTTCTGGGAAAAAAATAGCAGAGAAGCTTAACCAAATTTATAACACGAACTACTTTACTGGGGGGACTGTAATAAGAAATTCTTAGCTCTAACCCGAGCATACTATGTAAGTAATATAATAATCGAACACCCATACTTATCCCGATTCTAATCTGATATATTTGGCATATGTAGACGGTAAGGCCTATAAGAAAGCTGTGGCAGAAGCGGTCCTAGCTAATGTAGAAGTTAAAAAGAAGAGAAGTATTGTTGGAGAACATTATTACGAAGAATTCTCCACAGAATTTTGGAAAGAACCTGATATTTGCATCACATCTTGCGAAGCGTCTTAATGTCTATTTTCGAAAAAGATATATATATATATATCCCCTAAAATATTTATTGTTTCTAGGAACACGACGTCCTTCGACATCATCTAACACCCCGAATAGATCAGTATCATCATTCAGAACTGCTTTAGAAACTGGAACTACTTCAAAAATTCCTCGAGCAATTCCTTCTCCTAATAGATCGCGTCTAACAACACCCTCTGTATCAAGACCACCTTCTTCTGGTTTGAGACCCGTAATGCTCTCATTTTCTTAAAACGCTGAAATGATTAATATTTTTATTAATTATAATGAGCTGGACGATCAAAAGTGATTTTTATAGATAGTAACAAAAAAAAACATTTATTTTACTTTGCTATTCTGTATTAAAGCAGGATTTTTTTTCATATCTGTAAATAGCTACGTTATTGTAGTAAATTTTGTATTTTTTCATGACTGTAAGTGCGATGCAGTAGAATACGAAAGCAAATGTAATTAATAAAAATTAATAAATATCAACATCACTTATAAAACACGAAACATGTTTAAAAAAACTCAAAGTACAATCTTTATTATATTTTTGTAAAGTAATACGTGAGAAAGGGCTGGCCGACTAAGTAAAAATGAAATTAATAAAAGATATTGGAGTAGATCACGGTTAAAGGGAGGAATAAAGACGAAATGAAATAATATCATGCTCGGCCTTTTGAAAAATATTAATGGCAAAATTAACTTTGGATACTGTTAAAAAGATTGCACATAGCAGAGGAGCATCAGAAATCTACGAAAGATTCATTAGTTTATAAACTCTGGAATCGTTTTCTTGTAAATGCACTGCTACAATCGAAATATTCATACTTTATTTGCGTAATGTCTTATATTTTTTTTTGTGGATGCAGTAAAGCAGTATTCTTTATTGTAGAAAAATAGATCACAAAGCAAATTTTATGGTATTATAATCTCATCCTATGTACTGGATTGACAATTAAGAAAAATTTTTGACTATAATCTCATCTATTAGCAACTATATTAATAGTGTCACACTTGCATTTTCCTTAGCTAATGTAAACCATGACTTTTTCTCCAATTCTTTTCAAAAATTTTTAAATTATTCTTGAAATCTTTTTCTTTTTGAAAACCCTTTCGCACGTTAAATACTTGTTGTATAAGGGTGCTAAATCATATGATGAACATAACTGGTAAGAGTCCATTTTATCTGACAGCGCCACCTCAAGAAGCCTAGAAACAGGAAGTCCTGAAGTAGTTGGAAAATTAAGAAGATATTCGATTTCTTCTTCACTAAAATACACATCTGAAAAGAAGAATTTAGCAGTTGGATTTCCTCTAGGCGAGATCTGGCATTTTCGGAACTGCTAAAAGTTAAAAGATCATTAACGAAGATTTGGATTTTGTAAAATAAAGATTTATTCTCTTCATACAACTTTTTCAGCTCAATTTCGTAGCTCATTATCTTTTCACAGGTAGAAGCAAACAGTTCAAGCAAATCATCGGCACCTTTTGAAAACAAGTGTGATAGAAATCAGTTTTTTTTTTGCACGATACTAAATTTATAACTATTTATGACGCACCTTTATTTTCACGTAAAATGTAATGAGTCCAGATTGGGTGCGTGAGCTGAATTGTCGCAAACTCTCTATTCCTCATTTCTGCCGACAAAGAAATGTTAAACAAGCTTACACCCTCACCGAGCTTTGATGTGATAAAATCTGAAAAAGAAGACCAGTTGACCGCTATGTTTTTGATGGTCATAACTTCCGAAGGGTTCAATTCTTTTAGCGAAGTTTGAGTGAATGGCTCTATCTCATTATCTACTGAAGCAGTCGATAGTGACAACCCTTGAAAACTTGCTATAGCATCGACCTCATTAGAAAAGCTTGTATCAGAAAGACTTGTATTTGGTGAAGGTTGTCCTTTAGGACGAAAGACAACAAAAATGTGTTCGCTGTTTATGTAATATGTTGAGAAAAGAAATTTCAAAAGACGGTCATCAAGAATTCTTAGCCAGTATTTTTCTGTAGATTCCCTAATCCAGCAAACATAATCATAATTAACATTTAGCAGGGTACGAAAAGCCTTGACGTTAACATCTTCAAACCCGTTGGTAGTTAAAGTGGAAGTATTAGTGATAGTTTCAAAACCAATACGAGTTTCAGATAATAAATTTATTAGAGTCATTGTATTTATAGTGATAGAAGAATAAATAAAATCTTTAAGTATGCAACACATTTGTCTGACGTAATAATTTTTCCGAAGTAACACAGATCCAGAAGAAATTTTATATCTTCTGCATTTACAAATGAAAAAGGTATTTAAAAGTCAATCGAAAAATTATTCTTTATTATCATATAGTATGAATATATAAAAAAGGCCGGCCGGCTAAGTAAAAATGAAAGTAAAAAATGATAGAGTAGCAGGATGTTTCAAGGGAGGAAAGGTATAAAAGAACATGCCTGCTTGATAAGCCTGCCGAGCCCTAACTCATATACTGGCAGTTCCTTCCCCGCTACTCTGGATTATTATTATTAACTAAACTATTAGTAATTTCCTTATCATCTACCCATCTCATAATTGACATTACTGTATTAAATTTTGGGTCCCCTTCACCATAATAAAAACTTTTCACAGTACCCTTCCCAATCTTTTTCCCAGTAAGTTCACGAATTTCACGTCTAACAGTTTCAAACGCATAATCCATAGTATCCCCCACTTCTTTGTTCAAATTAAAAACTTGCTTAAAACGCTCCTATTTTCTTCAAGAGCTGAATCAGATAATTGACTAGAAGAACTTTTACTACTAGAGGAATGATGAAGCCTTTGGACAATTGCATAACATTGTATCATTTCATTTTGGAGAGCTTCAATAGAGGTCTTGATCGAAGTGAATTCAGATGAAATGTTACCAAAATCATTACGGCAAGCTTCAATATTATTGAGTCTTGTGGTCACATTATCGACCATTGATAAAATTTTCTGCGTCTCAGAGGCATATCCAGCATCACGTGAATTGATTTTTTTGATTTCTGTGGTAAGTTTAGCACTAAGCTCGGTATTAGTTTTGCCGAACCCAGCATTAACTTCAAGTTTATTATTAAGTTCATTATTGATTCTGCTGAGCTCTGCAGTAAAAGTAGAATTAACTTCAGAAAGACGTGCGGAAAGTTCATTGGTGATTTTAGTATTAATTTCTGCGGTAAGTTTACTGAAGATGTTTTCGATTTCTGGTGTATTATTTTTTGTATCAATATCATTGACGATTCTAGTGACGCGTGCAGAAAGTTCATCGGAAATTTTTTGTTTGAGATTTGACCATATGGTAGCGATCCCTATGATTAACACTGGACCAATGAACAAAAAAACAGCGGTTAAGGTCAAAAAAGGCATGACTCCCGAAGAGTTGAGCAATGACAAACTGGACATGATTAGGCGTAGTAATTTTATTGAGATTTTATTGGTGGATCAAGTTTTTTAGATAATATCGCTTGATTTTTTTAATAGCAATAGTTATCTTGCGTAAATGCGCTGGGAAAAAGGTTTATTTTATACTGTATGCCTACTATGCGCGAAAAGAGAATTTAACCCGATTTAATAAAAATTACGTGTATTTGTCATAACTATATTTTTCATAATTATATTTTTTCAGCTAAAGCAATTATAACGGCCTGGATCCCGTCTAATAATAACAAATGTTCCTCCCTGAATTTAACAATACGGCTTAAAAGTAAATCCGACAACTTAATGTAACACTAATGGAGCAATGTCGTGTCTCAAAATTTTCCGTTTACTTCTAAGATCTCTTGCAAAACAGAAGATCGCATGTGGGTATCTTTGTTTAAGTTCACAGCCTCCCCAAAAAAGGAAGTTCGTTATGTAGAATAGTTATTATTACCCTACCCCTATTTCAATTGTAAGAATAAAAATCGGAATATTTGTTCATCATGGATCGAGATCCGTAGATGACGAATCACACATGTATTACTAATTCCTATTCAAAAACGGATTAATATGCGATTAGCCTATATACGTAATTTGAATGCGCTAACGTTAGTAATGCTAGTAAGGTAATAAAAATCTACCGTTTATCAGCATCAAGCGCTCGAAGATCATGCCGATTTCCATATTCATTTCGTTCTATCATCATGATCTGCGTAATACAAGTCAGGGCTGATTAATTCATGTCAATAAAAATTATACCAGAATCTTCGAGTAAAAAAACATACCAGAACTTTCGGGAAAGTGTATAACGAAAACAACACAAAAAATTCTTAGCAATGACTGCCACAGTGGTGTAGTCATATCACATGTCCATATCTGTGGATGCCGGTGACGTACTACTGCGCATAGAATATTCTGCGGATGTGAACCAGTGACGTATTACTGCGGAGAAGAATAAATGACGTTTTACTGTGCACCTAAGCCATCCACGTGATTCGAAAAAAAAAAAATACATAATTCACTCAATGCGAGTAATTGATTCGCCCAATAATTCTTCTAGGCGGTTACCGGAGAGATTGTGGGACTCATTACTGACTAAGGTACAGGATCATCAAATATCATGGTTCTCATGAACTTCCATGAGTATTTTATCATGTGTTTAGTGACGTAACATATTTTCGCCTGATGCTGGGTATTTACTACAGTGCGGAGCGACCATAGACGAGAGAAGCTAAATAACCTAAATTGAAGATAAGGTATTTTGGTATATTATCATCATGGAACAAACCTATTCTGACACTAGTGCTGGTGATAAGATTGAGGTATACGAATTCTTGGAGGCTTTGGGATTA